GAACTCCCACCATTTACTTTATAGTTTTATCTATCTTTTTATTTAAAAAAAAGAGATATAATTGATTCTATTTCCAATTGATGTTGAAAAATATAATTATTTTTATTTCTCTTTTTTTATAGTAAATTTTTTAAAGTAAATTTTTTGGATTTTTATGGATAATACATAATGTCTTTTTTTAGCACTCGCACAGTATAATATTGAACCAAAGGACATTGATTACGTTGTTTGTACTCACAGTCATTCCGATCACATAGGAAACAATAATCTGTTCACAAAGGCACAACACATTGTGGGTTTAACTGTTCAATGTCATACTATATTTTACGAAAATCTGATTTCAGACAGTAAGCTTGTTGAGGTATAATGAATTGATAGGAACACAGTCGTTACAAAGAAAGTTATATTTTTTCAGAGGGTTATAAGCTCTGTTCAGATGTTAGTGTTATAGCCACGCCAGGACATACGAAGGAAGATGTCACTGTCTTAGTAAATACGACAATGGATGGGAAAGCAAAGCTTATAGCTATTACGGGTATGCGGACAAGTTTCAGAGATCATTGGCGCATTTTAATAAAATTTAATATATGAATAAAAGATTTTTCTCAATTTATTATATACTTGTTATACTATTTATACGCTTTTACAGGAGACTTGTTTGAAAAAGAGGAAGATATTTTAGATCCGCATATCTGGAAATCGCTTGGCACACCAGAATTGTTAAAAACTCAATCCGTTATGCGTTCTCGTATAATAGATCTCGCAGATTTTATAATACCTGGACATGGGTCAATGTTCTGCGTTACTGATACTATGAGAAAAGCCGTGAAATGTCAAATAATTCAATAAGATAATATTATTAAGTCATTAAGAAACATTTATAGAGTTTATAAGATGCAATAAAGAATATACTTTCAAATAATCGCTTGATATTAGAATAGATGAAAATTATAGAAAATAATATTACGGAAAATAATAGGAAATCATGAACAACTTGTTACGCCCTTTATTTCGTTTTAACTCTTGCTTAAAGATTATCGATTTTAATAAGCAATTTTTGTCAAATGATTGATTTGAAAATTAAACTTAATTAAAATTTGTCCTTCGGGAGTTAAATTTCGACAACAAAAAATCATAAGTTTCATCAATATAACGTGTAATACACATTGTATTAAAAAAGATTATTTTAAGATCCTTGCAAATTAAAATCTTTTCTTAAATTTTATTATCGATTTACGTAAAAAAGTATAAACAATTTGAGTAATTTTACATATGGCAGTTTGTCTTAATTGAATACAGGCGATTCTCTTCATTTCTGCTTATATAATTTTTCATATCTTTAAGCAAGGACTCGGACCGAAATTACATTTCAGAATAAAATTTCGGATCGATTAGGATTCGAGGTTACTCAACTTTCGATTTCGGTGTCAGTTCCAGTTCTTTTAATTCCAGCGATAACGATAATCATTACAGGTGTATAATTATCGAAATTGAAAACGATTTGGACCAAAATCCAAACGATCTCAGTAACCGTTACGATAAAAAAACTGGAAACAAAAATTGGATTTAACTCGGACCGTTATCTGTACCGAAATTTATCGATTCAAGTCCTGTTTTAAATAAAGATTTCTCTCTTTATCTTAATTTTTGTGAATAAAGCGTCTTATCAATAGTGAAATGTCTATTATGAAGCAGACATTTATAAAGTAAATCGTGCTACTTGTTTCATTTTTTGCCATTCATATTTGTTTTATGTGTATGTATATATATATATATACACACACACACACACACACACATAACAAATATGAGTAGCAAAAAAGTAGAATAAGGAGCACGATTTATAAATGTTATCTGTTTCATAAAGTAAATCGTGCTCCTTGTTCTATTTTTTTGCCACTCATATCTATTATGTGATAACGTTATATGAAAACAAATAAAATAGAGGATGCAACATTTTATTGTTCATAATAGGAGACTTGCTTGGTTCTGAATTTACAATACAATTCTCGAATTTAGAATTAAGCATGAAAAATAATGCGAAATTCTATGCTGACATAAAAAAAAAGACGCTGCTCATTCTCACTACTGTAGCGTGTCTAAAAAAGGACTTGTAAGAAGAATTATCATTTATGAAATATTAATAAGATTGGCTAATTTACATCTGCGGCAGATGCAAATGTATAAACGACGATCATAAGGAAGTGATATGTGATGTTAAGAATCAACAGTGGATAAATTTATCATAAATCTCCGTTAATTCTTCCATATGATATTTTTGCAAACAGTAAAATTTCTTCAATGACAAGGATTGCATTAGCGTGCAATGTATGCAATATATCATAAATATATCCTTATTTTTCGCCTTACAGAATAATATGTTGAACACCTCGGCCTACAGAGAATTAAAAAATTATTTTTAATGCTAAATAACTTAAATATGTACTATGTAATATATATTGCATGATATATTGAAAATGAGAAACGTACTTCGCAATCTCTGCAATAATGCGCTTGTTTCCTGAGTTTGTTATCGTGTTGCACTTCCACATTTTTGCCTTTTAAAAATTCGAGTATCAAGTAATTGTGTATCATTGTTTGCTTCAAGCAGTCCTTGATTAGATGGAACAGTTGCGGATTTAAGATCTTAGTTTCGCATGCTAACCTCCATGAAAGTTGCACCATCGGTACGAGTGATTTGAATTTGTGTAACTTGTTCCATTCGTAACGTTCTATCGCCAACTCATATTGTCTGGCAGTAAACGGGCCAACATTCCATGCGATATTATTGCACGAGCCAATTGCTTGCACCCAATGCACACAACCGACGTTCACCCACACGATATCACCCGGTTTTTGAAGAAATCTGTATACTGGGACATTATTTTTATATAGAACATTCAAATTCGGTGGCCACCAACTGTCACTTAAGTAATTGACGCCCACTTGCGCACAAAGCGAATGTATTACACCCCAGTATTCGTATGATACAGCAAACCATTCGCAGTCGCCTGGTCCGATATTAATGTTGACAGAACAGAAATTATTATTCTCTTGATGACCAGTCGTTCTGCATCCGGGTACCTAAAGACAATTACACATATGTATAAATTAAACGCATCAGCACTTTTCAATACACTGTTCCAACTTAAAATTATAGATGCGGTCGAGTTGCCGCTATTAATGTTCGAAGCATTTTTTGATTGGTCAATTAGTAACATTCTTTCTTCTGATTGGTCAATCAAATGCTTCAAAGCATTCGTAGCGGCAACTCGACCGCATCCTACATCAAATTTGAACTATACCTTCATATATAACTGTATGGTATTCACCCCTAAGATATCACAGCCCACATATGTAAGCATATTATCAGTACATTTAACATTGAGAAAGGGTGGTAACTTCGTTAACTGATGTAACTGCGGTTTCCATATTTCCACGTCTGATAAATCTACATTGGTAGCGAATTGTACTGTTTGTTTCTCTTTATCCTTGGTCACTTGACCGGAACTGCTGGAAGTAGGTATGTTAGCAAGCACATTTTCTACATCATCATCTAGGAAAATTTGGGCTTGATACTGCGCATAGTTTTTAATTGTCGAAGTACTTTTGTGGCTGAAGCACTTCCAGATCTTCGTTTTCTGCTTTGTATCCCAATTCTCATCAGAAGAATACTTTATTTGTTTGTGCACATCGATTGGCATATTTGGATTTGCCTTGAGTAGACTTTCAGTCGAAAAAACATTTAGATCAATCTCATGCGTTGTTGTGAGGCCATGTATCACGACAATTGGATACACCATACAAACCTCTTGTAACTTCGAAAGGACTGCTTGCTCTTTGCTGTTGATATAATAGCGTTGTATCGGCGGTGACAATTGTTCCTTCGTTAATAGTTCATTGTACGGGTACGGCGGCGAACAATTGCTTACTAACGAACATTTTGGCACCTCGTTCAATCCTTTATCTTTATATATCTTGAGAATTCTTGAGGCATCCATTCAGATGCTTATATCGATTACCGTCTAGATGAATAATTAAACAAAAAAATGATAAAGAATATATGAAGTACTACAGACTCTTGGCGAAATAAGTATGCTAACAGCTAGTTAGTTCTCCGTTATCGCATACACGAAACTATGACCGCTTTGTTTATTAACATATTCGATATGTGATTTGAAAGTTGAGGGACAAACTGATGCAAATACAGATTCAATATAGATTCAATAATATAAACATTTCTTCCACAACAAAGCTATTTGATTTATAGATACATTTTTAATATTCTGTTGATCTTTATATTATAGATAAACACACTGATCACACATAGTATTGTTTTAAGGAACAAAGGAAATAAGGGCCGGTTGTTTCACCTTTTGGTAAAAATTTTACCTTGTGAATTATCAGATTTACCTGTGAGGTAAATCCGATAATTCGCGTATGTGATTGGATAATCTTGCTACTTACGCAATAGATAAAATTTACCAAAAGATGGAACAACCGGCCTTAAATGAGTTTTTTTTTTCGAAATAATGATTGTATTCAGCAGAATATTTATTTGTAACTATTGTAAATTTTCTTCGCGCTGATTGGATTATAGAATTTTAGATCTAGAGGAATAGTCCTATCTCAGCAATCATAAAACCGTTACAAAACTGTAAAACTATTGTAAATTCGACGTCCAGTCGATATTGTATTATTTTCTATAAAAATCTACAAATTTTGAACAGTAGGCTTCATTAAGATATAATGAATGATAGAAATAAAATGATCTAATGAGGTTATATTTTTTCAAAGGACTGTCTTATTGAAAAAATATCATGTCTCATTGTTACACGATGAAATCATGTAATTAAAACATGTATATCACATAACGGATTGTATCAAGTCGTACGTAATTTTTTAAACGCAATTTTTTGACGCAATTTGAAAAATCACATGATATTAGAAATAATTTCATCTATCGTGTGATTTTATTGAATTTTAAAGAATTTTAAAGAATAATAGAAATGGAAGAAAAAAGAATATATCATGTGACTTTTCAAATTACTTTTAAAAAATCATGTACTGATTTGGAATAATCTGTTACATGATTTACATTTTAATTACATGATTTCATCATGCAATTGTGATTTTTTTCAGTAGAGTATGCAATAAAATCTATTCATGTATTAAAATTATATCACATCAGGATACACGTGAGAGGGTTTAACCGGTTTAGTAGAAACGATAATGAATGTAAAACTTCTTACTGTTATAGATAAAAAAAGGTTTCAGAGATTACGTATTTTTAGCAAAATCTAAGTACATTAAAATATATATAGTGAAAAAGTTTATTTCTTTCTTCAATTTATACTTATATACTTGTAGCAAAAATGTACTGATTTCACATTTTTGCAAGAGACGTATGAAAAAAAGGAAGATATTCTGACATACATCTGGTTTCTTGTCTCATATTGTACCCAGGTATCCAATTAAGTCTGTAGAAAGTAGATTTTTTAAATGTCTGCTATACATTATGCCAACAAAATAATAACAGAATTAGATGTACATAATAGAATTAGATGTACTGTTGACAGACTTCTAGAAAAAATGTAACAGAATCTATAAGCGTCAGATAATGTTGGCAGGATCTGCTCAGTTTTTGCCAACAATTTGCACATTACATCGACAGACGATATTAACAGAACACAAGCCTAATGCGGACACAATTGATGGCAGACTGCCGTCATTTTCTACTCGAATCTGTTGACAGTCTGCTAGAAGACCGCAAACATTTTGCTATCTAGGGGAATTGTTAAAAATTCAATTTAAATATTTGGACATAGAACAGTGCTTCGCGTTATGGATATACTTATTGTGAGAGAAATCGTAAAGAGTTAAGTAATTCAGATATTTATATTTGGTAAAATATATTAG